TGAGTCTGTTTGGGTTATCGGATTTTCAGATTGTTGTAATTTTTTTTTTCAAACACACTTAGACACTGAACACAGACTTAGAACAACAATTTGTGGATCACACAAAGTGTTGTCCCAAGTGGGGATCAAACACAACACTCAGCGCGGTAGAAAGCGACCAGTTGACCGCTTAAACAACTACACCTTCCGTGCAGTCATTTGAAACCTCTTGAAATCTTCCCACATTCCCAACTACACTTACACTAAAATCTCCCAATTTATATCACAAAAGTAGTTAAAACAAACACAACCCAAAATAAATATTTCCATAACACAAAACGTACAACATAAAGTATATTTATAACCGAACAAATTCTATTTTTACCGCACCTTTCTCAGGTTTCAATACCTACATAACATATGTTGTAACGCTTTTAAGAATCGCCACCAAATATGTTGAGCAACTAGGGTTTTACGTCCGTCTTTATAAGATCATTTATGAATATTTTTTCCTTTATATGACATTGGGCCGTGGATTGCGAAGTCACACGAAGTTCAGACGAGCGTTTTTACGTCGCTTCAAGCTTCGTTGTGTAATGTGCTTACGATATTTGGACTACTACGGATTCTAATAACAAAATGACTAATACAGGTAAAAACAGAGCAATAAACAGATACATCTGATATTAAATATATGTATTTAGTCTCAGCCGTATCTAATATAATAATATAATATAATATACATCACACATCTCACACACGGCCGTCTGATCCCAAACTAGGCAGAGCCTGTACTATGGTAACCAGACTGCTGATAAACATACTTATATATTTTTAAATACATACATATTAAAGATAAATTACACCCAGACACAACAAATGATCGTGCTCATCACACAATATTTGTCCTGGGCATCGAACCCACGACCTCCGGCTTAGCAGTCAGGGTCACTAACCACTAGACGAACAGGCCCGTCAAAAGAATCCGTTTAGGCCTATCTGTTTATTGTGGTGCTATTTTATTTATTTATTTATTTTAAACTTAATGCACATATTGTACAAAGGCGGACTTAATGCCATGAGGCATTCTCTCCCAGTCAACCTTCAGGTGATGTAGAAATATGATGCGGTAGGTGCAAAGTAAAATATTAAATTTAACATAATTCAAGTCCAGAGACATACATATTATACACACATACAAACATACCTACATAAATTTAATAAAATATATGAATACTCAGTCATTGTGACGGTTCTGCATATTCACTCCGAAGATCGCGCACTTTTCTCTTGAATTCATTTCCTGTTCCTGTTTGTGGACATCCTGAATTCGGCAGGGAGGGCATTCCAGAGAAGAACGGACTAAGGAGGTATTTTAATGTTTGAAAACTATTCTGGCCTCTTACACTTACAGTAACAAGCTAATTTTTGTAAATATAACACAAATAACCCGACTGAGTGAAAATGTATACTTCAAATTAAAAAACCGACTTTTTTTCATATACTTATCCAGTGTCATTCGCAATTAAAACGTATCTAAGGATACCTCGAATATTAAAATCCATAAAGCCGTTCAGGCTACAGACGTGCCAAAGAAATAAACATACCTAAGCCCTACACTCGAAAAACTATTTTTGACGCAGTGGGGTAAAAAACATATTTAATTTTCTATACTGGTATCACCTGGTGTTGTTGAAGAGACACAACACCCGTTTCTACACTGCTTACTCCTACGAGGTTAGGAGCTAATTTCACAATGGAGGGGCTATAATCTCCTGTGTGAAAGTAGCTACCAACCTTAACTTCACAGAACATCTTCAATGAACACACTCACTACCACTGGTTGCCTATATCATCAGCATCGAGGCACAGCACACTACACCTTTAGTCATTATGATGGGGGGCACAACACCCGCTTCTCCGTCAAAGGTTAAATTCCCAGGGTTAAGGTCCGCGTGGTGACGGATTAAGAATACAGAGTGTCACCACCCCTATTCATCCCGTGGGTCTCGTAAGAGCCGACTAAGGGAAAAAACTACGCAGAACAACAGCACTGCAGAGAGAAGGAAAACTTGACACAAACCCTTTACCACCTGGCCAGCGTGGTATAGTAGGCCAAAACCTCTTTTCTAAGGATAGGGTCTATGTCCAGCAGTGGACTATTATAGGCTGCTGATGTGAATCTACTTTAAAGAGAAAAAACGTACAATTCCTGGCAAGTAACGATCTTTACTTCTACCTGGTAGTAATAAGCCTATAGATCTGAGGAGGGGTTCACTAAAACGTCGACAACGTACTTATTTCTCTCCATGGGTAAATGTTGCTCCTTAAACCATGAAAAAAAACAGATTTTAGACGTTAGGAGAAACGGGTGTCATTCAACACAAAGGAAGGATCCTCCGACCAGGCTAGGATACAGGACCTATGGGATTAATAGGGGTGGTAACACTCCGTATTCTAAATCCGTCACCACACGGATAGTACAGTCGGTTGCATTTCGACATAACACTTCACCTCATTACAAAAGAAATTAATAAATTCGTAAATATTATTGAAAACTCTTAGGTATGCAGACTTTACACTATGTTTTATCTATGAAGCAAAGTGCTAAATAAATTCAAATAGGGTTATAATGTCGAAAAGTCAGAGGTCTGTGAACGGGGGTCGAACTCTAACCATCTTAAGACACCTATTTATAGTCCACACGGCTATCATTTGTTGCTGAGCGGTTTTAACTCCTAAGTAATATCAGTGTAATAATATTACACATAATTACATTTAATTAACTTTGAAGTACTCGTAGCTACCTATAATTACCATTTTTACTTTTTAATTGGTTCGAATACATTGTTCATTTACGATTCTGTTATTCAGGAAGAATTTCGTATTAAATTAAATAATCTTTTTTAATTTATTATCTTACAAAATTTATCTATATACATAGCACTAAGCTTATGAGGAGTAATCACTATAGCTTATAAAATAAATTAATTCCCATAGCTGTCTGTCTACCGGAAAATTTGATGTATGTTAGAAGTCCGGATAGGTTTCTGGTTTATCCGTAAAATACCAAAACATCTTAGTTTCGGAATCTTAGGTTAGGTTTCACTATACACCAGAATAACAAACACTCCAGAGCAATGCTTGTCCGGCATAGCTGTGAAGTGTTTGTTATTCGAGTAATATAAAAAATAGTGAAAATCTTGGAACCTGACAATGGTAGCTAAGTGAAATCGAAATGTTTTTTAACACAACATCACAAGACAACTTCCACATCCTGTGTCGCGGAGGACTTTACAAACATACATGAAACAGACACAAAGAACACCCAGACTCAGAAGGACAATTTGTGGATCACACAAAGTGTCGTCCCATGTGGGCATCGAACCCACAACACTCTGCGTAGTAGGGAGCGGCGTGGTGACCGCTTAAACCACTACGCCAAAGAGAGAGAAGAGTTTGTAATGTCAAATCAATAGGTTTTTTTCATGCCCGGAAGGTTATTTACACGATACCTATGCCTAAAAATAAGTTTAAATTTTTTTCTGTCTGTCTGTTTGTACCGGGAAATCTTCAAAACGGCTAAACCGATTTTGATAATATTTTACTACCAGGTAGCGGTCTATATAATGAGTAATTTAGGATATTTATCTCTCAGAAAAACTCTATAAATTTTACCCGGTCCGGGAATTGAACCCTAGTGGGTTTAGGCAGCGCTTTTGAAATTCCACAAAAACAAAGACGCGGGCAGTATAAAGAAGAAGCTAGTATTTAAATATAAATGTTAAGTTGGTTTGTTTACGCTTCAAAAACTCAAAAAGTTCGGCACCGTTTGAGCTCTTTTGACATGATATATTATACAAAGATGATTCTTCATTTCTCAATACAACCACTCCACAATGTGCCACAGCGAAGCGTGGCGGGGTACTGAGTATAGCTAGTAGAAAATAAACCACTCCTTAGATCAAAGTACTAACGTTTATTTATTATCTTATTCAATCCACCAATCCAAGAGAATGTTCACGTCTCGACTTCATTCGATTCATAATTTGATACATACATAATTTGACCCAGATACATTATATCCGTGTGGTGACGGATTAACACGGAGTGTCACCACCCCTTGTCATCGAGTGGGTGTCGTAAGAGCCGACTAAGGGAACAAACAACAGCACTGCAAAGAGAAGGACTTGAAACAAACCCTATACCCACCCGTCTGGCCAGCGTGGTATAGTAGGCCAAAACCTCTTTTCTAAGGAGAGGCATATGTCTGGACATTAAAGGCTGTTGATGATGGTGATGATGAAGTGACTACTGCTCCCCAAGGGCACCTACAACTAAAGAACTGAAGATGAGTTGCCGACCTTTAAAATAAGAGTACGATCTTTTCTCGAATGTTTGAAGGTCGTAACTATTTTTACAGAAATATATTACATATGTGTTTTTTAATCTTTCGTGTGAATTGGAATAATATGTAAAAATCAATTAAATTTCTAATAATACGATCATCCACTACAACGAAGTGGTATCAGTTATCGAGGTGATCATTCAAACTATTTAAATAAATCTTAGATTGAACTAAACACCGCTGCAAACTGACGCGTATTGTTTTACGTGCGATTATTCAGCTTTTTGCTATCGCATAATTGCTGTCAAGGCGTCGCACTGTTACGACTTTCCTACATCTAGGTAGAGGACAATGATCAGAGACGGACCTAACGATGCACTCCCCACTGGCATCACAGAAAGTAAAAGCACATCGCACCTCGGTTCGAAATCACTGTCCATTACGAGAGTGAGCGCGACTCACGCGTTATGTCAAAAATTCCCGCCAAAAAAAAACGTCAAACGTAATCCGACCCGAGTTTCGTCCAAAAACCTTAAACCTTTTTTTTCTTGTAATTTTAAGTGCGACGAACTCTGGAGTGCAGCGTCCCCAGTTTCATAAGTGATTATAGAATGTTATAGTGGCGTCGTAAGTGAAAGTGGCGTGACGTAATCATTACATTAGAGTTGTTATTATGGCGGATATCGCTCGTTTCGGGAAGCAGTGTCTTACTGTTTTCGGACTTTTTGGTAAGTTTTTTTTTAAACGATATAACACTTTTTCGAGCCGGAAATTTACATGAAAATATTTTTATTGAAACCGAACAAAGTTAATCCGTAATTGTCATTATCAATTATTGTGGATTAAATAAAAGTTGTACTAATTTATTTAGTTTGATTATTAAAATCATAATGTCTGTATGTGTATGAACAAATTATTTCGGATTTAAAAAATCATAATAATATTAGTTCTAATATCTATTACCTACTTCCCTTTTGCCAATAGTTATTTATTGTTTCTGTCGCTTTCATGGCTCCTCAAGTTCCTCGATAAATCCTTTATCCAATACAAACAAAAAACAGTACCGGGTTGGTGCTGATGCCTAAAATACAGAATATTAAAATATATTAGTTTTCTTCTTCTCAATAAATAAAGCATGTAATACCTAATAATGTGCAAATTATAGTGCAAATAAATATTTTGTATACTTATTTGTATTAATGATTTATTCAATGTATACATTAAGAATATATAATTATTAAGAGGCTTTTATAAAGGAATTAAAAATAATATAAAGTAATATAAATGAAATTAAAATATTTACATGCAAGCGTCAAATATTCCTCCGCATGATCGCGTATTAACAGTATCTATTGTTATTGTGTCTTTCTTTTCATCTCACTATTTCCTCATTTGTATAAATGATTCCTTCTATTTTCGAAAGCCAATGGATATATTTTTTAAAGATGGAAAATAAAAGTTTTATTGTAATTTTACCATTCACACCTCAGTTGCATTTACTTATATACCGCTTTTATTTAATAATTGCTATAACATTTTTATCAATACAAATCGAGCATTTAATAACTAGAATTGGCTTAACAGATATTCTTATCATACCATCATTCATAGTTTTTAAAGTTACAATGACTCTATAAACAAAATTTAAAAATGTATTCTAAGATATGCTGTTTTTGTTTTTGTATTTTTTTTTAATGTATAAAAACAGATAATCTGCATATATTTGACCGATATTTCTCAACCGTTTGTTTTACAAAAATAATAATAGATGGACACATCCGCACACGTCATCCTCAACCATTCGACCTAAACGTAATTACAGAATTTAAAGAATAATATTTTTTTACCAAAACGAAACTCTCGTGCAGTGTCAAAATTAGTACTCGTAGGTATCTGGTAAGATTTGTTTATACAAACAGATACTACGCGTTACTTATAAAAGCTAGGTGATTTCTACATAATTATAAACACACATAAGTAATAGTCGAGGTCTATGGTTACACATCGAATTATTCACCAGCAAAACAAAACATTATTAAATAAAATAATTCTAAAAGGTGGTTTAAGTACGGTGGTTTTATTTCAAACAAAACTCAACTACCTTCTTTGTTTCGCCCGTGTTTATTCCACTAATTTAATGTATACGTAATTTATTTTCTTAATTTATTATTCTTATTCTCCCATTACTTTGTTTATTCGTCATTCGATTGCAGGATATTTTAGAGAGACTCTTTTTTAATAATTTAATAATTTAATCCGTGTGGTGACGGATTAAGAATACGGAGTGTCACCACCCCTATTCATCTCGTGGGTGTCGTAAGAGCCGACTAAGGGAGTAAACTACGCAGGACAACAACACTGCAAAAGAAGGTAAACTTGACACAAACCCTATACCAAACCGTCTGGCCAGCGTGGTATAGTAGGCCAAAACCTCCTTTCTAAGGAGAAGCCTATGTCCAGCAGTGGATTATTAAAGGCTATTGATGATTTTTAATAAATACTATTTTATAATTTATAATAAATACTGAATGCACGCTTATTAAAAAAAAGCCTAGCTAGGTGACGTCTATTTTTATTTAGATATCTTATTTTATCTTAAAAGGTTTTTCACATAAGTTTTTTTATTTTATTTTATTTTGTTTATTAAGAGCAAAAAAAACAGTTACATGTTAAAGTCTTAAAACTATATAGAAATACATTACTGAGGTATAAACACATAACACACCATTGTTCACGGATTAATAAGAGCTTTGAACGAAGCAAATCAGACCATCACTGTAAATGCGCGTGAGCGCAGACACTTGGTACTTATATGTAAATATACAAGCACGCTACATTCATTACACTCAAATTCAGATCTAAACAATACAGATGATACAATATACTATTCGTATTCTATTCAGTTGGTAAGGCGGTTAATAATTCAATAGCGTGACTTTTAAATTGGTTATTAGAAAGAGCAAAAATATCAATGTCGTTGATATATTTGTTGTACGTCACTACCAGTCGTCAAGGTATGCGGACACCGGCGTTGGTTCTGCGTGATGTTGTGTGAAAAAGTTGGTATTGCCGCACACCTCGCTGACGAACTGTTCTGGGTACCATAATTCATTTCTGATGGCTGAGCAGTCAAATCTATTATTGCAAAGACCATGAAGCATCATGGCATCAAGAAGTAGACGTCTAGATTCTAAGCTTAGAATATTAAAATGATTTAACAACTCAGTATAAGATAATCTAGATTGCGTAAATTTGTAGTAAGTTCAGCGTAAGAATTGTTTCTGCACTAACTCCAGTCTATAAGAATATTTGGTGTATAAAGGGTTTCATACAGGTATTTTGTATTCTAATTGAGAACATATTAGTGTGTTATACAACATCAAAGTGTGGAGGGTCACGAACGGCACAAAGTCACGAGTGGATCTTAGAAAAAAGCCATAAATGCGATAGGCTTTGTTTAAAAGTTAATGTTGAAAGGTTTTTTCGAAGATAGTTTTAATTCGAATCGTCGATAGCCCAAACATCTCCGATCGGCTCGATCCCTTGGCGTTACGTAGAGATGTGGCTTCACTCTGCATTCTCTGTCGCATATATCATGGAGAGTGCTCCGAGGAGGAATTTTTCGGACTAATACCAGCCGCAAATTTCTGCCATCGCTCCACACGGCAAAATTTTCATCCTCATTACCTGTATAGTTAGCGCTCCACTACTGTGCGCTTTTCGAGACACTTTTTGCCCCGCACAACTAATCTGTATTTCCGGACCGATACGACCTTCAAACCTTCAAGAAAAGAGCGTACTCCTTCCTAAAAGGCCGGCCTAGAGTTGCAGACGTTCATGGGCCGCGATAGTCACTTTCCATCAGGTGACCCATCTACTCGTCTGCCCCCTCTAACATAAAAAAAAATGGACCCAAGTCTAAATGTGTTTTTATTCTTGTTTGTTATTACTCCATTAATTTGTTTGTTTTATAGTTTTTTATAGTCCCGTTCATAAAGAGAATATTTAAATGATTAAGCGAAACTTCTTTGTAATTAGTGCTGTTTTATAGCCTATAAGTACCGAACCACACCTACGCTGTGTGCTTTTAGAACCCACAATCAAAAAAAATCACTGCTTTAAACTCAAGAAAACTTCGTGAAAACGTATTGAGTCAGTTATTTGAAGTCGAAGGATTATGAAGTATGCACTTATACCAGCCGAACTAGGTTAGATTTAAAATGTCACCCTAGCAGGAGCAGGCAGGGGTGGCGGCCAGGGAGCACAGGGAACATGGGGTTCCCACACGGGGGTCGTCTACTCGTCTGTAGATGACCCGAGGTATGTCGGGGCACCAGGGACTTCCTTTCTAGGGTATACCTATTTCCCCGGCTATTAGTACTCGAGACGGCGTGCGGTTTTAGTCGGTTCGAGTCCGACATGCCACCGACAGGTTGTATCCGAGGGGATTTCCGCACGGGAAAAAAAAAGGTTAGATTTAAAAGGGATTTAAAAAAAAACAATTTCGGTCTTTATACGTATCAGTGGAAAATGACATGTATGTTTTACAATAAGACTGAACATAGCAGAGTGATAACAGCACGATGTAACTTACGCTACATTCACTTATTTTTAAATACGAGTAGGTAGATTAAATAGCGGAGAAAACGCCAAATTTTATAAAATCCTCAAATCGATGTGATGCAGACTTGTTGACGGAATCATCAGAATAACCCCTTGTGTCTTCATCATTGCAGGCATATATGTATGGATGTATGTGTGTATGTTTATGTTTTTTATATTTATAGTATTATTTAGTACGTAGAAATTATATTTACATCTATATATGTATACCCAGTATTTCTATGTAGTATAACATCTTGCAACTGACTACGATTTGAAATAATTTATCTTATTATACACCTGCCACACACACATATCTGCATCGCCCCAAGCTAGACTGGAAGAAAATGCCTACGGCATTCAGTCCGTATGCAATGTATTTTCAGGAAGTATAAATAAATAAATTGTAATTCGCGTTACTGGTTACTGCCTTCTCTGCCTTTCAGCAAGAAAGAACTCTGTATCTTGTAATATTACTAGCTATTAATTGTTAATTCTTATTTCAAGTTTCTAACTTTAAAAATTACGAACTCCCATACCACCGTGCATCTCTTGTTTAATGCTTCATCTCTTCCCAATTATGAATCTAGGTGAAATTTCCAAAAATCATTTCTAAGTGTATGCTTACAACATAAAAGCATCAGCTGCTCAGCTGCCAACATTTCAAGTTTGTGGCTCCAACGGCTCTCCCTTGATTAATCAGTCACTTCCATTTTATAATGTAGGTATAAATAATCTGTATTAAGGCTGTTGCTAATAATGACGATGATTCAATAAAGACAAGTTCTTGAATTTCCGAAAGAAAATAAAAACAACAAACAACAACCGTTGGGAAAACGAGTTCTTGAGTGGAGGAAGGTTCAATGATGAAGATTTGTTTAAACTTAAAACAAAAAGTCTTCACCTAATTTGTTATGGTCTTGTGGTGTGGGTCCTACACTTTGTGTGATCCACAAATTATTGTTCTGAGTCTGGGTGTTCTTTGTGTCCGTTTCATGTATGTTTGTAAAGTCCCCCGCGACACGGGAATATATTCTTAATGCGGGAGTTGTCTTTTCAAATGAAAATGAAAAATTAATTTACATAGAACACAATAATGAGCGATTTGTAATCAATATGTAGATTG